AAAAACAACCCCCTGCTCTGTGTTCCCTGCTCCCTTGAAGCCTGGTCCGTGACACTATGGAAAGGGGATTTCTACTACAGGTTTCTCATAATAATAAAAAAAAGAGGGGGGCAGAAATTTGTCTTAAAAGTGCTCTTGTGTCTCCCCTGCAGCCAGTGAAGAGGCTGTTTGTCATGGTCCCGCTTGCTGCGGTGAGATGCTGTAAAACCCATTAACTGTGTTCCCTGCTCCCTTGAAGCCTGGTCCGTGACACTATGGAAAGGGGATTTCTACTACAGGTTTCTCATAATAATAAAAAAAAGAGGGGGGCAGAAATTTGTCTTAAAAGTGCTCTTGTGTCTCCCCTGCAGCCAGTGAAGAGGCTGTTTGTCATGGTCCCGCTTGCTGCGGTGAGATGCTGTAAAACCCATTAACTTGCTCCATCCAGGCGAGCCTCCAGGCAGGTCTTTCGCTCCCCTAGTCAAAAGAGCAAGGACTTTTCCGAACGCACGATGGGTCTTTTGAGGAGGCTATGCGGAATGGGAGCACCGCTGTTTTCTGTTGAATATAGAAAGCACTTTAAAAAAATAGAAGGGGGTTGCTTCCATCCGCAGGGGAAGAGAGTTGCTTTGTGTCGTCCGTCTCCGGTTTTATTTTACAGTCTGTAAAAATACTCTGTCTGGCCGTCCACATCCATTCACGATATAAAGCAGTAAAAAAAATATATATATAATATGGTTTATTTATACAGTTACACTTGCAAGGCAATCAATCCTCCGCTGGCCAGGGCCTTCTACCTCCAGATGCTCTGCCTGGTTGTTATAACTGCAAGACAAGACAAAGAACAACCTGAGCGACCCCATCAAGCACTCGTGAAAAGAAGAGGGGAACAGAAAATGGGACGTACATGAGTGCAAAGCCTGGACTGGGAAATGGACATGCAGACGCCGCAGCATCTGGTGAGATAGAGATGGATGTTCCAGGCCATGAGGAGGACGGCAGCAGGGTTTTGTTGAGGGGATGGTGGTGTGGATGGGGATGGGATGCCAGGATGCAGGCAGCATCACCACGGTGGACAGGGACATTTTACAGCTTGCTTTTGCTGCACCCAGAAACGGCGCAGGGTGGAAAAAGGGTCACAGGAGGTGGGAGGGGTTTTGGGGTGAACTGGTCCCCAAGATGGAGCAAAAGTGACTCCTGTAAAAGATGGAAGCCAAATCCTCCCTCTCTTAACCCTAGCAAGGTCTTAGCCCTGGGCACGCGAGGTGGGAGGAGAGGGGAGAGGAGCATTCTCCACAGCTCCTGGCAGGGCAGAGAGCTGGACTGCCAGTGTGCGAGCCCCTGGCAGCAGAGTGGAGGCTGCTGAGGTGTAAGCTTTGCTCTTCCTAATGGCATCTATAAATAGCTCAGTCCACTCGCTCCCAGCACACACTCGCTCTCTGCAGCCCGTTTTGGGCAGCAAAAGCCTCTCCCTGCTTTCCACGCATCCTCCCCAGCCCGCCTCGCGCTCACAGGGGCCCACTGGGATGTACGCACCCTCGGGGTTCAAGCTGGACACCAGGGGCTCTGGCAGGGTCCTGGGATGGCCGAGGAGCTGCTTGGTGCTGGCCCGGGGAGGCGACTCGGTGCCGGCAGTGGGAGGAAAACCTATGGGATGGGGAAAAATGCCTGGCTCAGGCAGGGCTCGTGCCTCCCGTGTTTGCCCAGCACAGCTGCTGCAGTGCCATGGGGCAGCCACGTCACCCTCTCTGGGTGCTTCGGAGGAGAAATGAGCGAGTTCCTGTTTTCTGTCTCATTCCACCAGAGCCCCCCACTGCCTCCTCTCATCTCTGCAAGGATATGGACGTACCCCCGGGCACCACGCTTGCCCTTCCCTCGCCAAACACAAAGAGGTCATTGGTGGCCAGAGCCCATCCCCACCAGCTCCCGGGGAGGTGACACTGGCTGACACCTACTTTCTGCTGCTGCCACCATGGTGGCATGCAGCAATGCTGCGAAGGAAAGCTCCCTGTGACCACCCCGGCCCCGAAAGCAACACAGGATCCGACCCTCGAGCATGGCTATGAGCAGGATTCATCGGGGAGGAGGAAGGAGTCCTGGGGCTGGCAAACCTCAGAGATCCCCTGGGATGGTGAGTGACCACAGTGCCAGTACCAAAACCCGTCCCTGCTGCCTAACCTCAGCGCCTAGGGCGGAACCGGCCAGCTTTGGGGCTGACCCCCTTGGAGGGGGTGCCGACCCCCTTAGAGGAGGTGGCAGGGAGCGGG